ACGTTACACCTGATCTCGAAAAATAATTGGCTAGTGCCATAAAAAAGTCACATGACCGGAAAATTTTTTGTGGGTGATATTTTGAGTAATTTGACTAATTTTTTGAAAAAGGCAATTTTCAAATTAACGCCTGGCCCACAAATACGGTTACGTATAATGAAAAATTCCGCATATAAATGTGATCTGAATACGTAGAATATTTTTTAGCGTAGTTATTGTTACGTATGAATAATAAATTAATCATATTGCCAAAATCAGCAGCTATGATTATTTTATTAAATATGGAATTGGATTTAAGAAATGTTACAAATTGAGGAAAGTATCCACTTATTACAGTATTATCAAATATGTGTATGTGCGATCTTTCATAGATGCTCATAGAATGGTTATATGGTTATTGCCACGAATGTGAAAAGCCATTCGTTCATTGTCAAGTCAACAGATGTGAATGATCTGAACCAATTGATAATAAGAAGCACGACAACATGGCATCCATTTACTATCAAAGATCTACAGGTTTGAATGATCCATATGGAATACTTTTCTTGGCTACTGTTACAAATGGAACCAACCTATTTTGATATGTGGATATGCAGTGCAATAGCTTAAGTATGTACATGCGTAAACTAGATTATATCAAAATTTTATCGCATATAGTTAGATCATGCAATTTTTTATTGCTTGTGTCATTCTCGTGCGAAGATGCAGTTCCCTAGGAAAGGTTAATCGGTCTATTTGAAATTACTATTTGAAATTACTATTGTCATTTCAATTGTAGCTACAAACTGCTATGTGTTGAAGGACAAAATCCAGGTGCGACGTTTTGAGATGATAAAAGATAGGGTAGTTGGCAAGATGGTTTTATTTAGCTCGTCAAATAATGGCAAGACTCTCGCCACTATTGTCTCGCAAAAACTCGACAATTTACTCGCCAGCTTACCAACACCCTAGATAAAAAGCTTCTGTTTAGCCTTTTTTTATCTTTTTATTAGAGTATTCATTTTTGTTTTTATCGAATTTTTTATAGACAGATGAACCGATAATCACTAATCGCTGAAGATTATAATGAGATATCTTTGCAAAAGAATTTGATAATCATCTCTAAATTTAATATCTAATGTGACTATAAAAAATCAGTAAAAAGTGAAATTTGAATAAGGCTAGGAGCTATGGAAAAAATTGTTGATACATTTTGACGTAAAAAAAAAAGTAGAACTAGGTCTGAGGAAGGCCGATAGCTATATAAAAATTGGTGAAATATAAGACTAATCAAAACACTAGTCTTATTTAAAAATATCATTAATAATTGATAACTATATATATAAATTATTACACTGCCCGCTGTATCTAATTATTAGCCTGGGCAGTTTATTACAGCTGGTTTTCAAATTTATCGATCATCAGAAAATTTTCCAATTGTTCTAGAATTTATGAAAACAGCTATAATGATATAAAGGGCCAGCCAGGGCTTAGCTTTTTATCGGCACGGCCCATTTCGTACCTACTCAGAAATAATATTCGTCATAAATAATATTCGCTATAAAATCATATTCGTAATAAATAATATTTGTCATACATAATATTCGACATACATAATTGCGTGGCAAACTCGAGCTATTAGCATCTTTTTCTCAACAGTGTTGGCAATTGAGCGAATTTAGACAAAATTTTATTTGAGCAAATTTAGACATAAAATTTTATATGTTCATGTTCAAATGAAATTTTTATTGGACATAGCCCTCAATGCTCCAAATCGACCCAATTTATCCGACTGTTTCGTGTACACACTAGGTTCGACACTCAAAACTAAATATATGAAGAAAAGTCAATCGAAAACAGGCAATTGTTTTTTAAAAAAATTTAATTTAAAATGTCTGAATAATTATCAAACCAAATTCAATAAAATTTTTTTATTTTGATTCTATATATAGTAATTAGTCGATTAAACATAGCGATAGTAGTTGACTAAACTGATTCTTACCTTGAGTCGTTCAACAAAGATTAAAAGACCTAGGAGATTTTGTCGAAACAATTCCGCCGACAATTAAAATCAGCCAACACTAAAGCTAACTCTAAATAGGGTTAAACTGTACGTACTTAGTTAATATACGACTATAATAATCAACTCTTGGGAAAGAGATTATTATTAATTAAAAAGCATGTGTATAAGAATCGTGGTCATACATCGATTTATCGATTTTTTCAATACCGATACACCTTAATGATGACGATAGAAATGCGTTATAGCTTTAATCAATTGTTTAACTTTTTTTCATTTGTGGCGTCTAGTGGAATGTCAGACAAGTATCTTTCATGGAATAATGGTACGTACGACCAAGCAAAAGAATGTCTTGGCTAAGTAAGTGATAGAAAAGCTTGAATAGACAAATTTTTTAAAGATCTTAAAAGAACAGTTTATTTCGGTTAACCTCGGATTAATTAATATTTCACTTTACATTTAAAATAAAGACTAAAATAAAAAAATCTGGGGTAATAGTTGCATCGATAAAAAGAACAAATAAATAAGTTATATTTTAATAAGTATCGAATATATATATGACTGTATGATATGATAAGCAATTAAATATAAATATTTACGATAATAGAAAAATAACGAGATATAATTAGAATTCAAGTAACGATAACTTTTTCACACATTTCCAATAATAACGATAATGGGAAATTCTCATGGATTCATGGAATCACGAATTTATGTTATCTTGAAAATCTGGGTGACGAGAAAGAAAATATGATGATGAAAATTCGTTGGCGCAGTGAACGAAAAACCACGTGAGTGCGCGGAGATTTTCACACCAAAAAATTGGATATCTTGGATATCTTGGTAAACATATAACATAGAGATAGACCCAAAACGGAAACGGAAATATCACAAGAGTACAAAGGGTGAACAAGGACTCGCGTGTCTCCCGCTCTTTCAAATTTTGTTTGTAATCGACAAGTGTAATTCGAATAGAACACAACATTCAATCTAATAATCAACTAAGGAGTATTTGTCATACTATGTTATCGGATATTCGGTTATTTCTCGAATCTTCACCGATCTATCGTCATCATCTTTCTCTATAGTTCCGCTATTCTCCGCCAGTACATTTCCCTACTAACTAAATTTCAAAGTCATTCTCTGATTAAATACATGTCATAATTCGTCATAATAAGTTGAATTAAATTATGCGTTTAATGGTTTTTCGCCGCAATAATCAGTTTTCTTAAAGAAAGCATCATGCGGTTACTCAATCAGCAAAAAGATGCTAATTTAGCGAGTATTACAAATATTTAAATAAATGAGTTCTAAATAAATGCGCGGTAACTTTTTTAAATGTGGTAAGACGAGATCAGATATCGTAAAGCTATCGTAAATACATCGTACATGTGGCAAAAGAGAAAAAAACGAACGAAACACCAACATTTCAAGAATCAATCAGGATTCACCAATAAAAGAGATTTTCTTGTGTGATATCAATGAACCTGCCGAATATTGAGAAGCAGGTGTCAACGTGGTTTCTTTACGACATGAGACAGGTTTCTTGTTTCACATGTTTACTGTTGCACTGATAAGAAAGAAATGCAATCCGATCAGCGAGACTGTTTCTCTTCTAAATTGTCATTATCTGAATTTATATCTGATTTATTATATATCGATTATATATTGATTTTTTTTTATATCTGATTTTATATATCTGAATTTATATGTATTCTAATATTCTTATTGATGTACCATATAAATATACTGTATTTTTTAATTGTATTTTTTTAACTTGGAGAACAAAAATTATGGCTTACGTGTATTGGTGTTCTTAGTAAAGCGAAAAAAAAAAAAAAAAATTAAAACTCATCATTTTCATCCGCTCATTGCTGCTAGATTTATTCTTTTTGATAGCCTCCATTATTGGAAATTGCTCCGACTAATAAATATCTGCTGATGCAAGTATTTATCTTCCCCTTTTCTTTTTCCATCTAACGAAAATAATCATACTTTCTATATTTTTTCCCATCAATTTTTTTTATTTTTTTATTTATATAAACTGCTACGTACAATTAATTATCTTTGTATCCGTTTGATACATATTATAGTTATTGATAGGTTAAACCTGACGTCAACGTGATCAGTTTTTGCTTTTCCTATTATAACAATAGGAAAAGGTACAAAAAATTGAATTTTTATATATCCGTAGTCCATATACCAAAAATAAAACTGTTGACGGTTTGAATTTGGAAGGCTCGCTTTTTCTTCGCTTTTGTGTTCGACAGGCTGGACCATGGCCGATCCACGATCTTTCAGAGACAAATATTATAGGTTGCGAGAAAAATACGATGCCCTTAACAAGGTTCGTTACCATTTTTAATTTTAATACATATGTATATATGTACATATATTTTTTCTAGCTTATACGCGTGTTAGTCATTTCGAAAAAATGTGAACTTAGACTTTCCTAATTTGCGTAGCAAAGGGACGAATTGAAACAAAACCTAGAGATAACCAAACACAAGGCACGCAAGCTAAAAGAGCATAACAAGTACTTTTTTTTTTTTTTTTTTTCGTTTAGATCGTTGAATTCGTTTTCAAATTTTTAATTAGCTTTTCTTTCTTTTTTTTTTCTCATACTTGTCCTTTTTATTCCTTTTTACTTTTTCTTTTTAAACCTTTATTTTCCATTTCCCTTTTTCTATACTTTATCACTTTTTTCCTCTCTTTCACTTATTTTTTTCAGCCGTTTACTCGACTTAATGATGGACATGAATCCCAGTCTTGTTGATGACGTATCCGGGTAAGTGGTTTAAAATTGGTTAATTTCTTTGTAATTGATAAACGTCTTTATTTCTTTTCTAGTTTATTTTTAAAATAATTATTGGTTTGACAACCCATTTGTTAATTTTATCCTTTCCTCTTTTATAGTAGCTCTTCGTCTGATGAGTCAGACGTCCTATCTGATGCAACCTCAGATGATCTCGATACTAGTATAACTACTCTTAGTAGATACGGTATTTATCTATAATTTAGTTTTTTATGACTAAAATTTTTTGTCGTTCTATGCTAAAACATTTTAATTTATATTTCCTTTTCTATTGATCTATTTCTTTTTACATTTATCTTCTTTCATTTATCCTTCATTCATTCCTATTTATTTCTCATTTACTCTTCCTTCATTTATTCCTCATTTATTTCTTATCTATCCTTCATTTGTCTAAGAACAACCAAAACAATCGTCCAGAGAGTATAGAAGAAAGGTGTCACCACCTACAACACGAAAACCCCATGTATCTCCTCAAGCATCAGGTTCAAGAGCTACCGGAAAACGCAAAGTAACTTTCCATTTTTTTTCATTTTCGATTATCCCTTGATTCTGATACTCATTCCCTTTTTTGTTTGTTGATCTACAGACCGACGAAGGTATTGGTGCTGATGAATTGCCAACACAAAAACGTAGGCGCAAAGCTCCGGGTGTGGTAATCTATCTATTTTCATTCATTTTATTTAATTATTTATTGTTTAAATTTGTCTCAACTATTTTTAATTACCATTTATTTTTATAGAAAAAGAAACGTGACGATCGCACCGATGCTAAGAGGATTGAGGTTAGTACACTATTTATATATAGTTACTTATGTTTCATGTAATGTCAAAACTTTCATATTGTTACACCGTATTCAATACCATATGCATTAAATGCTATCTATTTTTTTTTATTTTTATTTTTTTATGTTTAGCCTTTACCTATGAATTCCGATGGAACATTAAAATTACCTGTTACTATTGGAAAAGGTACCAATGAAGTGACGATTTATCGTATAGGTAATTACTACTTGCTTATCATCATTTTTATTTATTTTTATTTTAATCAATTTGTTTAATTTATTTAATTTATTTGTCTAATTTATTATTCTTCTGATCTACTATTTTAATTTATGATTATCTAATTTATTATTATTCTTTTAATATATTTCGTCAATTACTATGTTTTATTATAGGAACAATAGTCTGGGATAAAGAAGCTTATCATACTAATCGGTATATATTTCCGGTTGGTTTTATGAGCAAAAAACAATATTTGAGTGCTGTCGATGTTACAAGGAGGACAACATACACCAGTGAGATATTAGATGGCGGTGATACTCCAATCGTATGTCTCATTAATGTTATATGTTACTTTAAAATTCGTAAATAACCTTTAATTTATTTATAGTTTCAAGTTACCGCCGAAGACCAACCTGGTCGTAAATTTTCTGCTAGTTCATCTAGTGGTGTTTGGAAAAAGATTCTTGATGAAATTAATATACAAGGTGTACCCTCAAAAACACATGCTAGTGGTCCCGAAATGCTTGGTCTAAGTCATCTAGGAATCACAAAATATATCCAGGTAAATTATTCTTATTTATTTGTTTCATCATCTCTATAATGATTATCTTTATAATAATTTTGTCGGAGATTCGGAGGTTGTTGAAATCTAATATTCTGATTGGTTTGAGTTAGGATGATTAACCAATAGGATTTTTAATTTCAACACTATCCAAATTCTATCATCCTCGACAATAATTATTCTTTCTCATTATCTTTATAATAATTCATCCTTTTAATTATTTTATTACTCTATTTATAGGAACTACCCGGCGCTGAAAAATGCACAAAATATGTGATGCAACGTTGGATTGATGATGATCAACCACCACCACCGCCGCCGCCACCGCCTATGAATAATCCGGTTATCAAACGAGAGCCCATGGATGAAGACGAGGATGATGACGACGACAGATCCGCAATTACAAATGGGCATGAACAATACGAGCATCAAATAAAAACCGAAGCTAGCAGTCCCTAAGTCGATTGTCCTACCAACTTTATCTCGTTCTATTATTACCCTCGTTTTGTCTGGTCGTTTCCTACGGGAAATCTCTCATTCCTCGTTACGAATCTTCTTAGATAACTCATTGATACATACTATTCAATTAGTTATCAATCTTTAAATCGTATTATTTTTTTTTTTTTATTGTAGTTAGCATAATATGATTGTCATTTATTAATTACATATGGGACAAATTTAGGAAATGTCTGGTCATTCATTCAATGTATATAGGAAAATCATCAAATTTTTGTGAAAAACGGGTATTTTTTTTTTAAATTTTAAAGGGTTGTGCTCCTTTAAAACTTTCTTTTGAGCTACTTTTTGAACCCCATTCTTTTTTTTAATATCATACGTTTATTAAATTTGAAAAATAATATATATAATTGTTATTTTTATAATCGTTTCTTTGTTTAAAATTTTCGAAAATTTTTTACGCATTACATTTTTTTATACTTGCATAATATCTAATAAATAGGTTTATATATAGCATATATATAGCATATATATTTTATAAAAAAAGTATATGTATGTTTTAAATTTTACTATACTGTTACCCGATGCTAAATAAAAATTTGAGTCAAATATTATTAAAATTTTAAATATACAATATATATAGCTTAAATATAGTAAATTTGCATATTTTTGAAAATTAACTAAGGCTATATAAAATTAATTTTGATTTTTTTATTTAGATTTAAACCTTTTTTTTTTTTTAAATATACTCTAATTAAAAATAAAATATCTTAATACTAACTACTATATAAAGACTAGATTTAGAAAATAAACTATATAAAGCAAATAAATTAAAATAAAAATTAAATTAAATAATAGTAATTAAAAAAAAAAAACAGTAGCTTGAACTATACAGTATACTATATTAGAGACAAGTTATAGTTTTTTAAAAAACAATAAAAATTTTAAATTATTTATAAAGTAGTTAATACAGTAATAATATATATAGCATTAGGGTATTAACAAGTAAAGAAATTAAACTAATATTTTATATTAGGGAAATGTTATTTATCATCTAATTTTTTGTAAATAGTAAAATCACCCTCTTCTTTAAATAATTATAATTATATATATATAAACATATATACTGTACATATGATTTATTAGTATAATATTTTGGTACCCACCCTCTTGTTAAAAAAATCAGATAATAAATGACACTTCTATTATAAAGTTAACTTTTTTTTTATCAAAAATATTTTTTAAAGATTTTTATATACAAAAAGTTTTATAAGTTTAGCTTTTAAAGAGTTATTATTAGCTAATTTAAACTTTATAATAAAATTTACAAATATTCTAGCAAATTGCTAGTATATAGTGTTTATTTACACTATTATATATATATTTTTTTCCTTTGATAACCTTATACTAATTTATTAGAATTTTAACAATTTACAAAATTGAAATTAACTATCTAATTTACGGATTAGGCAAACCTGGCTGCTATAAAAGTGCCCAAATATGATTATCACACTGATGTTGCCAACAAGCTCTACATATAGTAATACCCGTATTTAAAAACCTGCTATGGCTTGGTACTTAGCTACCTACGTTCAAACTAATTACATTTTACCTTCCTTCTAGACTTATTCCACCAATGTTCAGGCAAAATATATTTTCTTCTACTTCTGCATAGCACAAACATATATGCCAATTTACAAAAGAAAGACTTTTTTTAAGAGCTGATCCCTTCTTTCAAGCTTATCTCACCTTAACTTTTAGTAATATCTTCCCAAACTTAATCTATTTAAATCCCAGCAAATTATACATATTACCTCCTACTTCTACATAAAACTAACATATATGCCAATATTATGAAGGAAGGTATATTTAAAGAAAATCTCTAAAAGCTCTCTCATAATTGAAAAAAAATAAAAATTGTTCTAAAAAAAGAAAACAGAACTCAAAAGAGAAAATAAAATAACAAGAAGAAAAGGAACAGGAAATCTAAACCGATTCTAATATAAATGAAAATAGATAAAACAAGCAGAAAAAAGAAAAAATTAAGTGATTTGATACACTATTATAACTCATACCAGGTGATTTAAAAATTATATACCAGATGCAACATCTGTATATCTCTGTTGTAAGACTAAACTTAACCTTAAAATTCCCTCTGACCTATTTCCGAATCTTTTTAATAACCTAGTCCATATCTCAAACCAAGTGCTGCTACTGTACTAGAATTCGACTCTCTATATATAGCACCAACGATGACAAGATTGTGACATTTCCATAAAGTGCCATCACTCAGTTACTTGTATCTCAAGCCACTTGGTGCTGCCACCAAAAATTCTTTTTTTAACTGGGACTCATTCCAGGGCCTATACAACGTATTCATCTCCAAACACATGGTTGCTATCTACTGGTCCATTCGGATTTAATAAGTAAACAATGCCGATTTTTTGAAGGGAGTAAGCCAAATCCCCACTTTTTATAAAAAAATTTTAAAAACCAACAGAAAAACAACAAGAGGTAAAGAGGGACCACTTGAGCTTCAAACCAATTTAAAGAAGTGTGAGTTTTCTTTTCTACAGTCAAAACCCACTGCCCAACACCTGCTTAACATTTATTTGATAAGTGATAAACTCTGGGCTTGTCGGCAGGTAGCATATAAGAACTACCTCTAAATAACAAGTGCCGAGACTTTGCAGTGAGTAATAAACTCTAAGCCTGTTGGCAAGTAGTGTATGAGAACTACTTCTAAATGACAGGTGCTGACTTATTGTCTAGTATAGTGTTGTCATGTTTACTATGTCCAAGACTTTTTTGCTCATGTCTACGTCCACATGTCTACAACTGTTCAAAGAATATTTAGGCTTTAAAATTTAATATATCAGTTTAAAAAAAACATGATTATATATTTTTTATA